CCAGCTGCATGTGGGGCAGGTGCATCTCCCTGCAAGCCCTCAGGAGAGTCGTGTGAGATGACACACAAGAAGCACTCGCTGCTGTGTCACACGCACTCTGAGAAAAGGTGAGTTCACTTTAAGCTGAAGTCAGGAAACCGTCGATCGCTGTGGGCACAGAAAGAACGTCATGATTCGTGCCTGTGACAGGTTGGTCCTGAGAGCACTGAGCCCAGGGAAGGGAGTCAGCCCCTCCTGTCATCACCTGCATCACATCCGCTCTGAAACATGATGGATGCTCACGGAGTAACAATGGAAATACTTGGTGACAGGGTTCAGCCAGAGCGGTTTTCACGTGGTCAGGTGTACATTCGGAGGACAGCCTGGCTTATCCCAACGCCCCCCCATCACCAGCTCCCCCTGGCTCACTCAGAGTGAGGGATCTGCGTGCTTCTCTCTGTTCACACACCCTCAGCCCTGCCCACATGGGATGTCCCACCCCACTCATGCTGGGTTTGTGGGGTCTGTGGAATTCACTTGGGTGGGGGCTGGGAGCAGAGAAGATGAGGCAGGAGTTATGAGAAGACTTGGTTAAAATCCCTTCCAAGGGTTCACTTTTAAGTGCTTTCATAGGTGCTATGACTCAACATCAGGTTTATTAATAATGATAAATACAAAATACTAAACTTTTTTATAGATATCCTTGTGCTGTTGTGAAGTCTGGTTGCCGTGGGTTCCTGACACTTTGTGGGGCAGAAACGGAGGTGCACGTTCAGTCAGGAGTGCAGTGTGGCCAGTTTAACAGCGAGCTGCAGTGTTGGTGTTCCTGCTGCTCCCGAGCGTGGACGACACTTTCCCTGGGGGCACGTAGAGACTGTCTTCACACCTGTGGCGTGTGGCGAGGAGTTCTGATGACTCACACTTTTGCTTTTGTCTGTCAGTGGCTTTCATGGCTCCGTGAACGAGTGGGCTTGGACACCAGTGACAGCTTAATGGAAGAGCTACCTCCCTCATTTTTCTCCTTTCAAGAGCCCTTTACTTTTCCACCGAGATGCCCTCCTCACAGGGGTGGCAGGCTGGAGTCCTGTCTTCACTGGCCACATTGACACTGACAGAACGTGCAATTAGGCTTCAGTTTGGCCCTGCAGTGGCATTGTGGGGACAGCTGTGTCCCCGCACCTGCTTCCGTAGAGATGAGCCACTCGGGTTGTCATTTCTCAGGTGTTCACTTATTTTGTTTCAAGCAGAATGAGCGTTTCATCTTAGTCCTGTGATGTCTGAGATTTTCCTAGGATTTTACCTCATATTTAGATCAGTAGTTTTGCAGCCATCTCCAGTGTTTATGTTCCTGTGGGTTTTAGGTGTGTGTCTGGTGGCGTCCGTCATACTATGTGTGTGCGCACACTCACACGCGCGTGTCCTTGAAGCAGGAGCCAGTGACTCGCTGGCTGGCATAGCTCTGAATTTCGTGGGTCCAAGCCTCCTGCTCTGTGAGGAAATCACCCCACCCTCTCCCAGAGTGGGGTGCTGCGTGGGAGCGTGGACGTGGGGGGTACTGCCCAGGACTGTGAGCAGCAGGCCGCGCGGTGACCTGTGTCTGTTTGTTCCGTGCAGCCTCCCTGCGGCAGTCCCAGGCCCTCCCCGCGGACCTGCGCCCGGAGACGTGGATCGCACAGGAGCTGCGGCGCATCGGGGATGAGTTCAACGCATCCTACCCACGCCGGGTACGAGCCCCCTGTTCCGCCCTGCCCCGTCGCCTGCCAGGGCCAGCATCCCTGTGCGGCTCTGGAAGTGACAGGCCCTGCCCCTGCGTGGCCAGTATGCTGCTCCTTTGCCATCCCCACCTGTTTTCTGGCCAAGTCAGGGTCATGGTCTTTAAACAGGACCCAGTACAAGGTGGCCTGGGGACTCCATGAGTGCAGCCTAGAAGCGGGTTATTTTTATGCTTCAAAACCTCCCACAGAAACGTTAGTGTGCTTCTCACCCCTTATTAGTGTATCTGCACCCCCAGGCAGTTCGGGTCCAAGTTAAAGTTTTAATTTGCCACCTTCACTTGTCCTATGGAACAAAGCTGGGCCACCAGCCTTACGGGCCGGTTTGCCGGCCACATGGGTGACAGCAGGAGCATGTCCTTTCAGTCCCTTGGCTGGACGTTTGTTTATTGAAATGTATTTGGAGGCCATTAACAGCCTGTAATTTAGGGTGTAAAAATTTTATATCCCAGAGTGACTGGCACTTGAATGATTGGGATGTGCTGTTCATCTATTTTAATTCAGCCCCATGTCTTACTCTGTAGACAGGGGGTGTTTTTTGTTTTGCCCAGTGTCAGTGTACATTACCATTCAGACTTCTTTTTCCCAGGGAGACACTTAAAACATACAGGCTTTAACTCCGGGGCGTGGATAGGGCTCTTAGGAGCTGTGCGAGGACTTGCTGTAAGGGCTGCACCTCCAGTGTGGTGGTGCCAGGCCGTGCGATTCTGTCTGGTTCACACTTTCCCACGATATTTCTGTTAATATATCTGAAAGGAAGAAACTTACTTTGTAGGTAGCAACTGTTAATATTCTTTTTCACTGTGTCCCTTCTGGCAACTTGTTTTCTAAACACTTGTTTCCTGTAAGTACCTCGTAAAGAATTTTTTCAATCTCTTTTTTCTGGTGGGGGGCATGCTCAGGACACCCCGTATCTCTGTCCTGCACTATCACCTGCCAGTTGCTTTTAGTCATTCTCGCCTTCCTGTCCACGTACAATGCCTTCCAATTGTGGGGATGGGAGGAGATGATGGGACATATGCTACAGTGTGGCCTAACATGAAATGGGAAGTGTTACAGGGATGCTTGGTGAATGGGCTCTGGGATGTCCCATGATACTGTCTGAGGCTGGCAGGAGGCCTGGCTCCCTGCTCTGGACACTGACCAGTTCACAGCATCGACGTCTTTCTCAGCCTGGATCTGAAGCAGCAATCATTTTTGCAAGGTTGGCTGTTGTGTAATGTGCCACAAAAGTTACTATTCCTCAGTTCCTGTGTCTTGGTTTCTCTGGAGGGTCCCAGTGTCACTGGCTGGATGAGGAAGGGCTCATTGGAAACAGGCCCAGCACGTGCAGACACTGGTCCCCATGCTGAGGTAGAGACACAGGTCTCTTCAAGGAGGTGGGCTGAGTCACCGGTGCATCTAGGCAATGAACTGACCACCAAGCTGGGCCTGTATTTTCCCCTATCTCGAGGGATGTAAGTGTCCTCGGGGCCAGATGGGACTTGGTGGGCTGCCTGAGAGAGCCATGGGTACAGCTGTTCTTGGACTGCCAGGGCTTTGGACCAGAGCTGCGTAAGTGTAGGGATACTTTGTAATGTTGCTGTTGCCCTCCAGCCTCTCGTGAAGAATCAGCGGCTCTACCGAGCATCCCCTGAGTCTGCCAGGTGGGTCTGATTGATGTCCCTCTGGTGGCTTTGTGTGGTCAGTGACCAGACACAGGCCAAGGGTGGTGTGGGGATTGGAGCACAGCCATCTCTTCAGGTAGGTAGTAGAGGTGGCTACAGCCACGTGCAGATGAGACACAGGCCCTTGAGGGGTCCACCTCCCCTCTCTAGCAAATTCCATGTCCCCTTCTCCCAGTGTCATTCCGGGTCGATGTCTAAGACGGTCATCTCTGTTCAGGTGAGATGTAACCTGTTTGCTCTCAATGTGTTTGGTAAAATAAATGTCAGTCTCACTACAGTATTTTGCTCTGTTTTGGAATTGTAAACCTTATTTTGTATCTCAAAATACGAACAGTGTGAAACGCAAATTAACAATTTAAGGGACTGCCGTGTTATAAGTTGGCTAGGATATTGCGGAGGAGTTAAGGACAGATTCTAGCTTAAAACCTGATTTTTCTAAAATGGACACAAATCTCCAGATTTTATCAATAGCTAGTTCAGAATGCCAGACTGAAGCTCGGGTAGCGGCACAGATGCTTTGCTGGTCGTCATCCGATTAGACAGCCTGGTCACGCTAATCACCTGTCCTTTACTGTTTCTGAGTATTTTGTGTCTGTCTGCCTGACACCACAGTGGCGCCTTTTCTAAAGTGGGGCTCTGGTTGCACGGGCATCATGGAGCCTGATGGGTGTTCTCCCATTCCCCTGCCAGCGCATTAGAGGGCGTTGCTGCGCGGTCGTGTTTTGGCCACGTCAGGACAGCGTGCAGTGTGAGACAGGGAACTGTGGGATGGGTGCCAGAGGCAGGCCGAGGCACGGGTGGGCGAGTCCCTGTATGTTCCCTCTCCAGTGACCCAGGAACTTCCCAGACCACCCACCTGGTGGAGTGTTCCTGTCACGGCACACATTTGGGGAGTGTTTTTATAACTTTGTTTTTGAAATAATTTGGCCTCCCACAAAAGCTGCAGGAATGGCACCGAGAACCCCTCTCCTACCAGCCCCGCTCCCCACCGTGACCGTCTCGCCGCTGTGCTCTAGCGCTCTCCCTCCTGTGAGTGTGCATGAGGTGTTTTCTGACCATCGGGGGTGGGGCGCTCCTTTATTCTTAAAAGTGTCAGCGTGTTTCCTGAGCACGCTCCTACGTGACCAGAGCGGGACCATCAGGCACAAACACTGCCACAGCACCGCATGTGCTCTGCCCCTCACATGCAGGTGTGTCCCAACAGTGCGGCGCCATGTCCCCTCTGTGCAGCGCATCGGGAGGCATGGCATGTCAGTGTCTTGTCCCCAGGACTCTGGTTAGAGGTGGTGTCCTTGGTTTGGCCATTCGTAGTGGGAGAGAAGCTTGCAAAGTAGCTGAGCCTCTCTCCTCTTTGTGTCATTTATCACCTAAGCTCATGGGTCCCTGTTTAATCGAGTGGGTTATTATGCATCTGACTCGACACTTTGATGCTCACACTGCCATAGATTGGGCCAGCGGTGGCCATCAGGTATGTTTTCACCATGTCCTTCAGTGTTAAGTGCCTGGGTGGCACGCCCATATATTGTGGGACCATGCGGGTGCTGTGAACGAGGCCTTTCATGTCTCGTTGAGGATGATGTAATCTCATCAAGAAACACAAATCACAGCCAGGTGAGGCCCTCGGGTCAGACCTTGCGCCCTGAGCCCTCTGCTCATCTGCGGAGCCCACTGTGCATCAGTCCCTTAGGGATGCAGTGGATCACAGTCAAACTAAAGCATTTAGAGGTGAGGCTAGAAAAGGCTGTCACTCCCTTTCCCCAGCATTGTTTTCTGTCACTTTGAACTGTGATTGAAATGTTTTCAGTTGGTCTTCAGGGTTTAGGAGGAGAGGCTGGTAGCTGTTTACCTGTCTGGTTGTCACATCCTCAGCCTGTGAGACATGCTGTGCACTCGACCCTGCTGTCTGCCTGGGTGAATGCCCTGTGACAGGGCTGAGCACTGGTGCATGTCACATGGCTAGGTGGCCTCACGCTGATGACACTGTGAGTGCCCCCTCAGTCTGCCAGGTGGGGACACTTGCATGACCACCTTGCTGTTGGAGAACATAGGCCGTGAATGTGTACCCATTGGGAGACTAAGGTGCCCCAGGGGGGTTCGGAGGGCTCAGGTTGCAGACTCTGGGGGAGGAAGTGGAGGCACAGCCAAGGCGAGGCTGGGTCCTATGCAGATACCTGAGGGGCCTTGGCCCCACCACCCTGGCCACACGTCCCCAGCCATTCAGCGCACGGAGGTGTGTACTGCTGTTAATGTGTGTGCATCTCATTGGCAGTTCTTTGTGGCAAGGTGCAGGGGACACGGCTCGCACTGTGCAGCTTTGCCTGATGGTGCCCAAACAGGGTACAGGCACTGTTTCCAGCCTCCTTGGTCCTCCTGCTGTGACTCCCTCACAAGCGATGTCCCAGCCCTCCACCCAGCCAGCGTGGCCCTGGGCTGGCGAGTTCTGCCTGCAGGTGTCCTGCATGTTGCCTGGACAAAACCCAGTGCCCAGCAGCCCCAGCTGGAGGGGAACCAGGGGAGTGATTATCCCACGAAGGGCCTAACTAATAGTGTCTTTGGAACGATGCACCGAAAGCAGGAGGAAAGTGACATTCATGTAAATGTCCTTTTGCTGTGACACTTGAACATCACATCGCCACTGTGGCTGGCCAGCTGCAGACGCAGGAGTCTGGTAGGTGCCAGCAAACTTCCCCCTAGCTTTGAGTGGGAGCACAACACTTGGCAGAGGAGCCCTCTGGTGCCCTGACAGCAGATCCTGTGGGCACAGCTATGCAAATGCCTGTGTTGCCCGGGTGACAAGTGGAAAGCGAGTTTGGTCTGTGGGCTCCTTTGCAGCAGCACTGGCCCTGATGCCTGAGGAGGACAACAGTGTATGTGGGAGCTGCATAAAATCCTAGCCGAGATGCCACGTGACTGTGGTCTTTGGCCTTAAAGGGGACAGAGACCAGACTCCCCCAGAGACTTGCACAATGTGCTCTTCTGTCACATGGGGCGCTTGTCCTGCACCCTGTCCCAGTTGCTTGTCATTGAAAACGCTGTTTAGATTGACGGGAAGAGGAATGGTAGTTTTCTGTTGGGACCCCTGGGGCCACTTTGTCCCCTGCCCCACCTTGTCACCTCTGATTGTGGCAGTGCTCGGTACTGTCCTAGAAAGTGCCATGACAGCCCCTAGGGAAGCAAACACCATCCTGATGGACACGTACTCTCGCTGGGTCTGTCAGAGTCCTTTTGGGTCTCAGTCCAGAATTCAGTGTCTTTTAACGTCGTTACCTAAAGATATACAGATACATAGATATATAGATATATAGATACCTATATATCTAGGTATCTATATATCTATAGATACCTAGATATCTATATATCTATGTATAGATATGTAGATATCTATATCTATACCTAGATATCTATATCTAGATATCTATATATCTATGTATCTATATATCTTTTAAAAAAAACTTTAGGACATTTTGAGCTCTCAGTGTTGAAATTCTGTAAGAAAGGGGTTTTTGAACAAGTTAATGAGCCGCTCTGAGTCAGTTTTCTAGGTGTGCTTTGAGGTTCGCCTTGTCTCTTATAATTTGGTGTTGAGCACCCTTTGATATGCTGATGGAGATGGTGTCATGGTTCCCTTGTCACCTTGACCACCAGGAGACTCTTCTCTGAGGTTCCCTGGGCAGCCTGGGGTCAAGGCCTCTTGTTTGTCGCACACCTGTGTCCCTGGATTGGGCCAGAGCATGTTTTGCTGTATTTATTTTGGCATTAAAATGTAATTCATTTCCCTAGGATTTGATTGGTTGTCTCAGTGTAACTTGGGACATGTTTCTTGAAGTGTAACTTGCAGGTAGCCCTGGTGCTAAAGCCTCCATGGTGGCTGGCACTGTGTCATCCTCTCGCTTCTCAGCTGCTGCACGCGGGGTGTTGGGCTATGGTGGCTCCAATTACCCCTTCTCTCGCCCTGCCCACCAGCAGTCTTCTCCCTGCCTGGCTGCCCTCAGGCCTTGCAGTCATTGGGGACCTGCTCCAGTGGCTGCCCAGGTGAGCCCCTGTCTCTGGGGTCACATGGCCATTCCCTGCTGTGTGCTGTTGACACCGTCTCCCGGACACTTTCCATTCCTGTGACAAGTGCCTACATCTGTCCCAGGGAAACCTAGAGCCCTGGACCCCTGGCTTCCTACTTTTACGGGACTGCTGTCAGAGGGCACATCTCGTATGGGGCACTGTCTTAAATGGTGACAGCAGTGAGAAATCATTCAGGTCCGTCTGAGATGCTGACCACTCCCCCTCAGTGGGGCTCCTGGGCCTCCTGCTGCTGCTGCTGCTCAGTGTGCCTGCTCCTGGAACATTCTCCGTCCTCTGACTAACTGTCCTCTCTGGGGATACAGCGTGGGGACTGGCCCTGTGGCTTCTTGCCTGCCTGATGGGCCCCGCCACCTCTGCCAAGTGCTCCTCTCTGCCATCTCTTCCCCAGGGTCGCCCTCACTGTTGCATCTTATTCGCTTGTTTGGCTCTGTCCCTTGCCCATACCAGGGTGCTGTCACACTTGTCTTTCGGCAAAAAAAAAAAAGCCTCTGCATCCCGACTCTGTTCTACCAGCCTCAGTTTCTCTGGACTGTGTAGGTGTCCCTGTCCTCCAGGTGGGGACTTTACACACATGTCCCGCTGGTCTAGAGGCTGGGCCGCAGTGGCTTCCCCAGGCCGTTCTCATTGTCAGCTGCACCAGGGTCCCCCAGCTGGGCGGGCATGGCGTCGTGGTGCTGCACGACTGGTGCCATAGGTGTTGCCGCCAGACCTGTTGGTGCAGGCCGTGCTCCATGTTGCATCCCAGGGCCTCTCATTCCCCCCGCCCCACCCGCTTCCCCTCCGTGCAAGAGCCCCATGGACCATCTGGGCCAGGTTCCTGATGGAGAGACAGCTGTACAACCGAGGAATGACCTTATGGAAAGTGGGCCAGCTAGAAAGTCGGTTTCCCGATGGCAGTTCCTGATTCAGACCACACAGATGAGGTCCCCCAGGGCCAGGCCACACTCAGCACCTGTGACCATGTGGACTGTGAGGCATAGCTTTCTGTGCGCAGCTCACCTAGTTCCCTCACTAATAGCCACTGCCACCTGGGTGGCCCAGTGTGACGCATCTTCCCAAAGTGCTTTATGGTCTAGACCAGAGCCACCTTGCACCACTCTTGCCTCAGCGGCTCTGCTCTGCACAAGGGGCAGGACCCGGCAGTGGTCCTGCGACAGGGCGTGGCTGCTCAGGCTGGCATGCCTCCCGCCCATCCCCAGGATTATCTTCATTGTTCTGGAGGCCAAAGTCCCAGGTCTTGTGCCAGGCAGGCCACACGGGGCCCAGGGCCAATGGCCAGGCGGCTGGGCATCCTGGCCTGCATGGCCGGGATGCATGGCTGGGGGCCGTGGTCCTGCAGAGGCCTGGCGCTGTCCATGTGGGAAGTTGGCTGGCCCGGAGCCTGCACGCTTTCCTGGGCACCAGCCCTTGGAGGCAGCGGTGGCAGCCCCTCCTCTGAATGTTGTCCAGAAGCCATGTCTCGCGGGCTTGAATGAGGACACTTCGTCGTCCCACACACCAGCTCCAAGGGCAGGTGTCCTGGCACACTTCTCATCTGATGTGCTGCGGAGTTTGTTGTGTCAGGGACTGGTGGCTGCTCCCAGAGTCAGCTCCATCCCCAGCGTGTCTGCCAGTGCTCCCTGGCCCTTCCATTTGGGGCGGAGGCAGGATGCCACACCCTCGGGTGGACATCCCCCACCATGCGACTTCCTTTGCCTGTCCTAGCCACCGCCCTCCCCCTGCTACCCCCAGAGCGGCTAGGGGTGGAAGGTGTCTTGCCTCAGATGCCGGTGGTTCTGGAACATGAAATCGGCTAAGGGAGCCATTGGAGACTTCCCTGAGGCGACCTGCCCTCTGGCTGTTACCCTGTCGGCCCCACTTTCTGCTCCTGCCGATGCCGCAGTGACCCTGGTTGGAGCCTAGCACCGCCTGTCTTGGTGAGCGGGCCTGGTTCTGAATGGGCATCTTCTAGCCTGTCAGCCTTAGTGGGACCAAAAGTGGGCTGTCCCCCAGCTCCTCTCGCAGGAGCAGCAAAGTCCTGTAAGTTCCACTGAACAGGCAGGAGGGCTCGGCTCTGCAGGAGGTGCAGACAGCACTGTTTCCTCGCGTCTGTTCTGGAAGGAGAGGGATGTGCAGTCTGTCTAGCATATGCGGGAGCTATGCGACAGGCTTTGGAGGGAGCTGGACGGCTATCGGTGGGAGCGGGAACAGGACCCTTGTCCTTGGCTGCTTTGTGGCTGGTGGGGTTCTGGTGGCAGGGAGTCAGGAGCCTCTGCCAACAGAGCAAGCTGCTAGTCTCAGGTGCAGGTTCCCATTAAGGCCCCGAGCAGGATGTCCTGAAGAGCTACCGGGACTCAGGCTGCAGCTCCAAGGTGCCCTGTGACCCCCGGCGCCTAGTGATACCTTGGCCGTAAGCAGAGGCCGGGACTCCCAACACCCCCAGTGCTCTGAGCCTTTGGCTACCCTCTTGCAGTTTCTCAGCTCCTTGTGACCGGGACTCACAGGTAGAGAGGATGCTCATTTCTCCTCGGGCCGCTCCCCACAGTGGGCTGCAGGGGGACCGAGGGGATTCGCCTGTGTGTGACCAGGCACAGTGCTGGTCACAGTGTTTATCCCACGGAGCGGCCCGACAGCAGTCAGGTGCCATGGCGCATCAGGGCACCACTCTGTCAATGTCGTGGGCCAACTATCCAATCACTGCTTTCTTGAGCCCTCTGGAGTCTAGGACATGCTGCCTGTCAGTGACACAGGCAGCGGGCACTGTGCACCTGTCAGTCTCCTTTCCTCTCTTGGTCCCCTGCAGCCACCCTCTTCCCAGGACACCAGCTCTGTGTCCCAGTGGCTTCCCTCCAGCATGGAGGTGGCGGCTGCTCATTTCCTGGCAAGGGCGGCGCTGGCCAGTGACTCATCTCTGTGACAGCTTACAGAGGAGGCTGTGGGTTTCCCAGCTCTTGTCTGTCACTGTTTTCCTTTGAGGACTGAGGAGAGGACACAGGTGCCTGCTCTTCCTGGCGAACTGCCTACCCCTGCATGTCCTAGGGAGACTAGGCCTCAGTGGCAGTGTGGCGCTGGTTGGGGTCGGGGGTGGGGGTGGGGTGCTTCCCGCAGCTGGTAAGAAGGAGTGGTTGATCACTAGGGACCAGAGAGTGAGCCGCTGTCCTGTGTCATTTCAGGTCTTTCTGAATAACCTCCATGCCGCGGGGGCCCACCCCCAGGTGGCCATCCTGCGACTTTTGCGTTACATCCTCCGTCTGCTGTGGAGGATGCAGTGACGACAGATGGGGTCCCCGCAGAGCCCAGACGTGTGCAGACATTTCGCTTGTTCGGGCCGACGAGCCTTCTGGTGCCATCGCTATGCAGCCAGCGGTTCGCCCGCAGGGCCAGCTGACGTTTCCACCACACGAGCTGTGTGCGGACTTGACCTCGTCTGCTCGTCGCCACATACCGGAGGCCCCGATGAAGTCACGTGAATGTAAACGAGAGGATCCCCCCGAAGTGCACAAACCGCAGTTCTTTGGAGCAGGACTTTGTGCAAGAGCGCTGTTTTCATGCAGGGCAGTTTGTTTTCGCCTTTTTAAATAAGAACAGGATTTTCAGAAAGGAAATGCAAATTTTTAACCAACTCATGAATGATTTTTGTACTAAAATTTTAAGAACCTATTGTCTATTCTCAGAGGATTATGTAAACTCGGCAGTGGAAACTGAGCCAGCTAATTCTAAAGCTGCCTTAGTTTATTTTGAGAGGTTACTAAACAATTTTTAAGTGGGAGGGACATGGCCCTTCCCTGTCATTGCCTCTTTCACTTTTTTAAAAAATCATTATTATTAATACCAAAAATGGAACTGACTGAAGGGGCAAAAGGCCCTTGGTCAGTCTCTGCTGACGTGCCACTCTCATTCTGTAAATATTTACTGACCTCCTTAAATTCAGTTGCTTCTGTGGCAAAGTGTCAGCCAACTTATATGTTTTCCCTATTTCCCACAGTTTATCATAGAGGCGCACTGGACCAAACCAGCGTCCACCTGGATGCTGGTTTGGTCCAGTGCGCCTCTATGATAAACTGTGACCAGGTTGGAACGTGACCAGCCCAGGTCACCCACAGCCCGGTCGGGTCCTGGTAGCCCACTAATTGGGACAAGCTCACTCCTGGTGTTCACTGGTCTGCCGGGCTTGTATTTGACAAGCGTTCTATGGAGGTAACAGCCATAGTGACATACAGTGTCAGGCCCCTCGGCACTGTGGCCTCTCCAGCTGCAGGCTTCCCCCGCGTCCTGGTGCACTCAGCGCAAGGTCCCGGGTGGCTGACATGCCTGCCTGCAGCTGAGCTGGATGGGCCGTGGGTGTGCAAACCAGAGCCCTAGTGGGAACTGGCACATGCCGTGGGTGGGCTTCTGGCAGCTATGTCCTAGGCACCCTGGGTCCCCATCCAGCTCAGAGTTCCTCTGGTCCCCACACTTGGTCCCCAGCCTCCTCCGTCCCTTTTGAGACACAGACTTAGTTCTCCTGGCGGTGCCGCTGACACCTGTCCTGGGCGCAACTCTGAAACAGCCCTCTGGCAGGTGTCCGCTTTACCTGTTTGTCTCTCTCGGGACAGCTGGGCCAGCCTTTGTGTGTCCACTTCTCCCTCCATGCTGGCCTGTGAGGGTCGTGATGAGTAGGGGCCCACGGGGCGGCGGGTCTTTTCAAAGGCAGTCAGACAACTGGGGAGGCCCAAAAGAGTAGGGAGCAGGGAAGGGGGTGCAGATCATTCTGTGAACCTAGTAACTCCTCGTGTTTGAAACCTCGGATCATGAAACAGCTTTTAAAAAGAAATGAATGACTTTTCAAATGAGTCAGCAGTGCCAACAACTATTGTGTTTGCTTTTGGCCCATCGAGGGGCCAGTGTTTTCAGATTAAATGGAAAATTTCACTCGTGTTATTTCCATAGTTTTATATAAATATATGTGTATACATGTATATGTATGTATGTATATATATATGGAGCACCTACACTTCTTCCTTTAGGTAGAGATATTTGATTCTAAATATTTTTTAAAAATTTTCTTTTTCCCATACATCTTCTTGGGGTCTTGAGTAATTTTCAGAGCTGTATTGAGTCTCAGCTTATATTCTTGGTAGGTCTGGAGCCCCCTTGCCGGGTCATAGAGGCCTCACGGTTGTCAGGTGAAGAGCTGCTCCCATGGCCTGCTGGACACACACACCAAAGACGTAGTTGGTTCTGGGCCCGTCCCCTCCCAGGATTTCCGTGCTTATATGCCAGTCCCCGGGCCAGAGCACCTCACCCTGCTTCAGAGCGTGGGTGCGGCCCAGTGCCCAGGGCTCTCCACGTGCCAGCTTACCTCTGGCTTGGCAGTTGGCCGTGGACACAGCTTGCGAGGAAATAGGAGACTGAACTGTGGGGCATTCGGAACAGGGTGTCGCACCGGGACGTGACATGGCCGGATGTCTCTGTGTTGTGCGTACCTGTTCATCAAGATGCCTCCTGCAGAAAGCATACCTCCCGTGGTGTGCCTTTTACTCTGTTTTTATTTCTCTGATTTTCTTGTAGAACAAAATGACTAGTTCCCTTTTTGAAAACTTACGAGATGCGGGTTTTGTGCCTTGACCACCTCTGCTCACGTGAGGTTTGTAGACAGTGTCCTGTGGTTATCACAGAAAAGCAATAAATGTACCCAAAATACCTTCATGAGTGATTTTTCACGTTACCTGTATTCCTGCCTAGGAACGAGTTTATCAAGAATTTTTTTTTGGTTCTTGAGAAACCAGATAAAAATTCCATCTGATACAAAAAAAATGTACAAAGTCGAATACAATTTTCTCCTGTTTCCCCTTCTTAATATTGTACATATTTTGACTATTTATTAGGTTAGGAGATCATATTTTACTTACCGACTGAGCCAAATGTCTGCGTGCAATTGTGTTTCCTTTACTTTTCTTGTAAAATTTTGTACAGCAGAAATGAGCAAAAAGATCACTGTTTTTACTAAACTTTTTCAGAATTAAGGATTGTAAATATTGTAGATTCTTTTTCTGTGTGATGTGTCCTACTGGTTCATAGTGCTGTAACTTGTAGAAATGTGTATTTATTTCCTGCTTATTTAATGTCTTAAGTTCTGGAAAGTGTTGGTCTCCCTGACATGCCCCGCCATCCCATTAATTGCTTTAACTGAGGTGGTCACTGGTCAGCTCACTGCCGGCCACACAGCTTCTCCGGTGGCCCTCCAGCTGGGCCCCTGGTCGAATGGGCTTAAGTTCTGGGATTCACCATCCTTATGACAGAGCTCGTGTTCAGACACCTCTGAGAGGCTGTAAGTCTGGCTCCTTGGAGTTCTCCAAGGAGCACCCAGTGATTTTGTTCCAAACAGCTAGCTTCTCATGGAAGCACATGCTGTTACCTCCAGGCCATGTCTTTTTTTTTTTTTTTTTTTTTTTTTTTAGATGTATTAGCAGCAGTTGGGACAGATTTTTTTCATTTAAAATTTGTCCCTGACAATTCGGTGTTGAGAGAAATGAAAACACAAGCCTTGTTTGTAGAGGTGCCTGAGACCGCTGAGTGCAGGGAACAGCGGGCGGTCGCCCTTGCTTCTGAAGTGACCAGAACCTTCTCATGCCACTGATCCCATGTTGGCAACTGGCGCGCTTCCCCTGGCCCCTGGCCCACT